ATTTTTTTTTGAACATTTTAATTATTTATTTTCTTTTAAAAATTTTTAGATTCAAGAGCTCTAGAGGCAGGTTTGTCACATGGGTGTATTGTGCAAAGGTGAGGTCTGGGCTTCTGTTGAGCCCCTAACCCAAATGATAAGCATGATACCCAATAGGTAGTTTTTCAACCCAGAACCCCTTCTATTCCTCCCCACTTTAGGGGTCCACAGTGTTTGTTGTTTTTGTCCTTTTTTCCTTGTGTACCCAATGTTTAGCTCCCACTTGTAAGTAAGAACACATAGTATTCAGTTTTCTGTTTCTGTGTTAGTTCACTTAGAATGATGGCCTCTAGCTGCATCCACATTGCTGCAAAGGACATGATTTCATTCTTTTTATGGCCGAGCAGTATTCCATGCTATATATGGACCACATTTTCTTTATCCAATCCACCGTTGATGGGCATATAGACTGGTTCCATGTTTTTGCTGTTGTGGATAATGCTGTAATAAATAGCACCAGGTAGAATGGTTTATGCTCCTTTGGGTATGTGCTAAGTAGTGAGATTGCGAGGTCAAATGGCAAATCTGTTTTTGGTTGTTTGAGAAGTCTCCAAATTGCTTTCCACAGAGAACTCTGCTGAGCAGGGTCTTTGTTGGGAGTCGGCCACGGAGGCCCACTGAGCGTTAGGGATCAGAGAGGGCCGTGGACCTCGAGACCACTAGGACGTGTTCGGGAGCCGTAGACCCCATTTTCCTCCCCCTTTTGCCATGCAGCACAAATAACCTAAAGGAACTCTGCTGGCCTAAGCTGAAGCCTCTGTGACTGTGACAGGCATGGCTCACTTTAGAAACCCATTGTTCCTGTTTCCCATAAACTGCGGTTTCGGCTTAGGTATTAGATATAATTCAAACTCAGGTCACATTTGGGAGCCTTTTATATGGTACAAGCTTCTTTATAAGATTTAAAAGAATATTTGTAGAATTAGTATATACTTATGGAGAGCTGTTTTCAGCTTTTCAATGGTGAAGATGATTTTCGAGAGTGGCCCAGCACAGAGTTTGGGCTGGGCCACATTCCTGAGAGCCCAGCATGTACTTTGGACTGGGCTGCATTCTTTTGGGCCGGCTTTAGCTACAGTTAGTGTAAGGTCTCTTTTCTACCTATTATAGAAATTGAATTTGTTTTATTCATAGAAAGTATTGTAGAATAGGTCATGCTACGAATCATGTTAGTTCATACATAATCAATCATAATATTTTTAGGTTTAATAAGAATATAGTTAACTTTAAGAATTTTCATCGTTTCTACTTTCTACTATCGAAGTTTTTCCCTTAGTACATTTACAATTTACATTTAGGTTTTAGAAACTTTGCTGCTGCTAATCAACTTTATATATTAGAATTAAGAATTGGAAAACTTTCATAGAAATTAGAATAGACATATAAGACTTTGGAATAGCCATTTTGTTAAGAGATTGTAGTCTATTGTTCCAAAAGGTGGCCCACCGTGGACCTTGAACTGGGCCACATCCTGTAGGGCCCAGTGTGATCTTTGGACTGGGCCACATTCTTTAGGAAATTGGCTTAAGCTATAATTAAGAGCTTCCGTAGCATTGTATAAGTGGTAGAGTTTAATTTAGTCGTCATGGGTATTGAGTGAGTTTTAGAAGTTATTGATTATCAGAACATCATTAGACTAATAAGGATTGTTACACTGCTTTTGAAGAACATTAACTAGCAAAGGGAACAATGAGACAATCTTAGGGTTTGTTCCTCCTCACACCTAAGCATCTGGTGGGTAGGGGATGCCCCCCCGCACCTGGCTTTGTGTTCACGTGAAAGACTTGTGAGACTGCCTGTCTAAAATTTGGGGATAAATACCTGCTGTAACTTTCAATAAACGGCTTCTGCTCATTTCACTGAACAGTTATCCACTTTCTTTCTTTCTCTTTCTTCCTCTTTATATCTATCCTTCCATCTTTCTTTCTTTTAATATCTATCCCTACAGATTCGCCGACGCCACCACATCTTCCAAGGGACTCCCCAAAACTTGCAGGGGCTGACCCCCTGAAGGTCTTGAGCTCAAGCAGCCTTCCTGCCCGCCTCCGGAGGACAGAGGTTTTTGCTTCTACATCTCCCTTGGAACAGTGACTCTTTGGGTACCTTTGGGGGTGAGAGGGTTTCCTACTCCCTCCATAGGGACAAATAGGTTTGTTTCTGTTCCTTTCCCAGAAATAGTATACATTGCCTAGTCTTGGGAGTCGGAAGGTGTTCCACTTCCTTAGCAGCAGTGCTCTTGGTTTGTAAGAGGGAGCTCTGGGGGAAAGGCAGGGCTTGTGGTCGACTCCAGCAGCAGCTGGGCACACCTGCATGTCTGTGCAGTACAGGGGTCCTGGTCACCCATCCTGGCTTCAGCCTTTCTTGTGAGCATCCATGGGAAGGCATGGAAAAGAGGTTGCACATGAGGACAGACTCCCTTGTGTCTGAGATGTGAGGCTAGTCCATCTTGGCCTCTAAGAATTTGCTGATTTTTTTAGCCAAGTTCTTCTTATCTATTTGTCTGGTGCTACCTCCTTCTCTCTTTGCCCAAAGTGAAGCAGCTCACGTGGACTGTCTCTGACTGGATGGGCTTAGGACTCTTTGGAGTTCAAATTACTTAGTTGCCTTGGGACCTTAGCTCTTGATGGGGTGCAAGAAAAGTTGTGACTTTATATATTATTTAGCTCTATCTCGTTGTTCAGGTGAGAACAACATTCCCAAATGACCTTCCACATCAAAGCAGAAACAGAACTCTGATTCTACTTTGTAATCTGCATTTTTCATCTACAGAATACTGTAAAATCCTTCCAGTTTAATGGCTGCTACCCATGACTAAAGACAAAGATGCTGTCTTCATTTCTCTCCTTTTTTTTTTTTTGTTGAAGAGAAAGATCTGACATAGTGGAAACCTTCCCACTTCCCCATCCAGAATCCTCTAGCCTCTCATGAAAAAGGTAGGATGGTCACAGAGTCTGGTGTATAGATAGGAAGTCAATAGATGGGGCATGTTACATGTATTCCTCATTCTCCATAGGTGATAATCTGGGCATGCTTTGTATCAATAAACAATAAAGAACCGGTTTCGGTGGCTCAGCCTGTAATCCCAGCACTTTGGGAAACTGTGACGTGAGTGGATTACCTGAGTCCGCAGGTTCAAGACCAGCCTGGACAACTTGGCGAGACCTCATCTCTACAATAAGTCAAAAATTAGCCGGGCATGGTAGCGTGTACCTGTAGTTCCAGCTACTTGGAAGGCTGAGGCGGAAGGATCACCAGAGCCCAGCAGGTCGAGGCTGCGGTGGCTGGGAGCGGCCACTGCACTCCAGTCTGGGTGACAGAGTGAGACTCCAACTCAAAAAAAAAAAAAAAAAAAAAGAATAAAGAAAACAGAGAGAGTCCTACCCAAGTTTGTTCAGCAAGGGTTTAATTTCTCCAATGCTGGTTTACTCCTCAAAAGACTCTTTCTAAAGAATCTGGCTAATACTCAGCTAGAAATAGAGTAATATAGAAGAAAAAGTTATTTAAACAAGAGGCATCTGAAGCCACAAATGCATATATTTAAAACAAGACACAGATTGATTAGCTAGAAACCAACCCATTATTTGCTGTCCAACTGTGGTTCTTTCCATGAAATGATTGTGAGGTTAATGTCCTGGTGACAGCAATTTTGTGAAAATATTAAATGAGGCTGAGACCCTTTTTAAAATGGAAAGAGCATGATTCATCCATACGTGTGAAATGTAAGTATGTTTTCTCTCTTGCTGATGCAAATTGCTGACAGCGATGCATCAAGGGGCCTCCTTGTCAGTTGACAGATGAAGTGAAAACATTGTTGTAAGTAATGAATTTGTTGATAGCTGTTCCATTACCCAAAATGAGTATTTAGATTAGTCTTGTGCAGGCTGTCACGTCAGAGCTGGCAGGGAGCTTTTCCTCTGACATAATTTATTCTAATTCCTCAATCCCTACCTCACTGTGTTCTAGCTTATTGAATGTGTCAAGGAGTGATTAGGTTGAAATATGTGAGATTTTATTATTGACAATTTGTACAGGAGCACTGGAGAAATTAAACCCTTGCTGAGCAAACCTGGGTAGAACTCTCTCTGTTTTCTTTATTCTTTATTGATAAAAAGCATGCCTAAAGACAAGGAAGATGCTCTGTGAATGGCATCAAGGATATATGAGGGGGACCCCAAAAAACACTGGAATTATGTCCTCTGTTTGTTTGTTTTTGCTTTTGGTTTTTTTTTTTTTTTGGAAGGCAGGCCCCTTGTAGTACAGGCTTCTCTCACTAGGCAAGTGTTCTAGAACCCATAAGCATCAGCTAGCATTGTTGTGAGAGACTGAGTTTGGCTTCAGTTAATTTTTTTTTTTTTTTTGAGATTTCGTTTAGCACATTTACCCATTTAATGATGGATGATGTATGACCGTACTTGCCTACACCGCGCTGGATGTTCAGCAGTTTTTGACTGAAAATGGTATAACCTCTGTGCCTCACCCTCCCTATTCACCCAATCTCACCCTGAGCAACTTTTTTATGTTTGTTTGCCCGATGAAAGAAGTCCTCAAAGGGAAACATTTTGCCATTTTGCCAACATGGAAGAGATGAAACAAAAAACAGCAGAAGCACTAAAAGGTATCAAAATGGAAGAATTCAAATACTGTTTTGAGCAGTGGAAAAAGCATCTTGATAGGTGTATTGCATCAAACAGAGAATAGTTTGAAAGCGATTGAAGTTTAAACATGCAAGAATAAACACATATTTTTTTAATAAATAAATTCTGGGTTTTGGGTGCCCCTTCGTATATTGAAAAAAGTTACCCTTCCTTAGCCAGGCATGGTAGCGCATGCCTGTTCCAGCTACTTGGAAGGATGAGGCGGAAGGATCACTTGATCCCAGCAGATCAAGGCTGCGGTGGCCATGAGCGTGCCACTGCATTCCAGTCTAGGTGACAGAGTGAGACCCTGACTCAAAAAAAAAGGCACCCTTCCTGTGTTGTGCTTCTTAGCTTTGTCACATACTCATCGAAACCCCTCAAAAATGTGCTGTTGGATGCCACATGCCCTTTCTATGTCTCTGGAGGTATTTTGAAGGCCAGAGAGAGAGACACAGCAGTGAAACTTGGTGGTAGCATTATAGAAAGGAACAGACACGGATTCTAAATGCCAAGTCATTTCTTTGCACTATGAGAAGCCCAAATAGAATTATAATCTGTGTCAGCATTGAGTTATTGATTCCTCATCAGTCAACACAAGGAGGTAGCCCAGAGGGGGGAAATGTGGTCTTAAATCAAGAGATGTGGGTTTTGTCACTCTCACTCTGAGATTCTGTTTCCACATCTTTAACATGATGATGATGTACCTTACAATATGGGTGAATAAATTAGCTAATATAGGTGAAAGTACAGAAGTGTGTGATAGATACTGTGCTATTAACTGTCCATTTAGCACGTGTCAACAGAAATCTCTGAATCTTTGTTACTTACAGTGTAGGACCATAAGTAGGTATCCAGGCACTGGCCTTCCTTCCCTAGACATAACAGGAAAACAGCAGAATGGTCACCTTGACCAGACAGGTTGCAAAGTGCTGCTGGGAGCCCCTGACCTGGAGAGGATGTCATGGAGGTAGCAACCCAAAGGCATGTCAAGAGGAGGCAGAGGTCCAGGCAGAGGGCTGTGTCTGGATGGTCGATGCCACCCAGCCTTGGAAACAGAACTTTCCCCTTTCCCACTTTCTTTGTTCTTCAAGAAATACTTTCATGGGTTCAGAAAATTTTAAAAATAAAAAAAGGAACACAGGCTAACTCCTCCCTTCCTAGAGAAAGATCACCTCATGGCAAAGGGTATCTTAGGTGTGGAATCACTCTCCTAAAATACTAAAATTACAAAGCTGAAGAGGGACGAATTCCCAGTGACAATTTCTACCCGCTGGGGGAGTTCTTGTCCCAGTTGACCTTGGGCCAGATCCCTGCCCGCATCCTTCGCTTTTGCTCACACTGCCTACTTCCCTATGAACAACAAATCTGCCACACAGATGAAGAATCTTGGTGTCGAGATAACAGGATTTGTCAAAACACGCTCCTTGACTCAACTGATGTGCTGTCTTTTGCCATTTGGTTTTATTTTCTATAAACCCACTCTTATCAGCAGTCCCTCTTGAAGAAGAGGAAAACAATTATGCAGCTGCTCTGTCAAGAGATTTAGAGAAGCCGTGTGTGTGTGTGTGTGTGTGTGTGTGTGTGTATGTGTGTGTTTCTTAGTTGCTATAGGCTATAACAGACTTTCAGATTCTGTCCCACTGTTTCTGAATTTTTGTGATAATGAAAACTCTCACTTAGAATCAGAGTCGATATTTGCTCTAATGGATTGAGAGAGCAACACATCATCTGTGACTTCTGTAGGGCGAGAATGGGATGTTAAGAGGCTCAGAACCCCCAGGGGCAGGGGGTGGTGGTGGTGGTGGCAGAAGAGAAGAGAAGGGCATTTCTGTGTCCTGAAGGTCGAGTGTTTCCAGATAATGGAATAGAAACTAGGAGACACCTTCTAGTGGGCAGGAAGAGCTTTTAAAAACTGTGATGGCTCCAATTAATATGCAAACCTATCTCTTTTCTTTGCGTTCTTTGTGTCCTTTGTGCCTTTGTGGATTGTTGTGTTTTTTTTTTTTTTTTTGAGTTGGAGTCTCATTCTGTTGCCCAGACTGGAGTGCAGTGGCCGCTCCTGGCCACCGCAGCCTCGACCTGCTGGGCTCCGGCGATCCTTCCGCCTCAGCCTTCCGAGAGACGGAATTACAGGCATGCGCTACCACACCCTGCTGATTTTTTTATTTATTGTAGAGATGAGGTCGCGCTACCCAGGCAGGTCTCAAACCCACGGGCTCAGGCAATCCACTCACCTCAGCCTTCCAAAGGCGCGGGATTACAGACTGAGCCACCGAGCCCGGCTTGCTGATTAACTATATCAATTACCAGGAAAAGAGACGGGGGAAGGGCATAGAACAAAGGTTTAAACCCTTTGGACTTGGTGTGGGAAGTCTGGGTACAAGTTGCTATAGAAAGGACAGGCCGGGCTCGGTGGCTCAGCCTATAATCCCAGCACTTTGGGAGGCTGAAGCAAGTGGATTGCCTGAGCCTGCAGGTTCGACACCCACCCAGGCAACTTGGTAAGACCTCGTCTCTACAATAAATCAAAAAGAAAATTAGGCAGGCGTAGTAGCACGCACCTGTAGTTCCAGCTACTTGGAAGGCTGAGGTGGAAGGATCACCTGATCCCAGCAGGTCGAGGCTGCGGTGGCTGGGAGCAGCCACTGCACTCCAGTCTGGGTGACAGAGTGAGACTCCAACTCAAAAAAAAAAAAAGAAGAAGAAGAAGGGACAGTTACCCTGAGGCCTGAGGTGTGGAAAGTCTGGGTACAAGTTGTTAGCTATAGAAGAAGGCCCTGAGTCCTGAGGTCCTTCTCTTTGAGTAGTCACCAGCATCCCATGTGTCCCCACCTCCTCTTTGACAGTAGACCATTAGAAGCAACACTGCCTTGCATGTAAACAGGAAGAACTTTCACTTGGAGGTGACTTTCCCCAGGTACTCATTCAGAATCTTTTTACTCTTGAAAATACAAGATTGTAATGAGCTCAGGGGTAAGTCAACATCTAATCTTAGGGTAACAATAACAGCTCCCAGGTGTTATTTTATTGTTACGTGAATCACATTCCTTATTATATTGATTTTAGTGTCCTGAGTACCTGGATGTGCTCTGTTTTAAGTGCAGGTAAATTCCTCTCCCTTGTGTCTCTCTGTACCTGACTGAGCCTGTGACCCTGAGAAGTTACCTTGGTCACACTCTGAAAATGGCAGAATGGGTGTTCGAACCCAGCTCTGTCTTGGTCTGACGTGCTCTTTCTACTGATGCTGTCATTCCCTCATAGGAGGCATATCCTTCCCTTCCATTTCACTCTGTTGATTTGAAGGCTCAATGACTTTGAGACACACTAACTTTGAGAGTTCTGGTAATGTTTCTCACCTAGCCAACTCTTACTCTCCAAAACTCACTCCCAGGAAGCCAAGGTCAGCAGTTCCCCAGACCCTTTCAGAGGGGCTGTGAGGTTCCCTTTTCCAACCGCACATCTGTGTCAGGCAGATTCTCTTCATAGACTTCAGCCAAGACTACATACGGCAGCAGCCTGACTGTGGATGCAGATGTGAGAATCCAGCTGCTTCTAGAAAGTCAGGCAGCCAAGGGATTTGCCGAGATGTCAAGTAGTGCCATTTTCTGCACTAGCTTTTTTTATTGCATTGAAAAATATGGTTATTTTCCAAAAAAATACTTTATGTATATAAAATATTTAAATATTATAATCTTTTATTAAAATAATAATATTTAGTGAATGTATGAAACATTTCTCAGTTTTAATTTCCCATACAGTAAGTAGAATAGCTATAACCCAGCTGGGCTTGGTGGCTCAGTTTGTAATCCCGTGCCTTTGGGTGGCTGAGGTGAGTGGATTGCCTGAGCCCGCAGGTTTGAGACCCTCCAGGGCAGGCGAGACCTAATCGCTACAATAAATCAAAAAATTAGCCGGGCGTGGTAGTGCACGCCTGTAGTTCCAGCTACTTGGAAGGCTGAGGTGGAAGGATCGCCGGAGCCCAGCAGGTCGAGGCTGCGGTGGCCGGGAGCGGCCACTACACTCCAGTCTGGGCAACAGAGTGAGACTCCAACTCAAAAACAACAACAACAACAACAAAAGAATAGCTATAACCCAGATAAACCAAAATTCTTTGGCATTCTCTGATTTTTTTTTCTTTTTTTTTTTGAGTTGGAGTCTCACTCTGTCACCCAGACTGGAGTGCGATCCTTCCGCCTCAGCCTTCCAAGTAGCTGGAGCTACAGGTGCGTGCTACCACGCCCGGCTAATTTTTTGATTTATTGTAGAGATGAGGTCTCGCCAAGTTGCCCAGGCGGGTCTTGAACCCATGGGCTCAGGCAATCCACTCACCTCAGCCTCCCAAGGCGCAGGATTACAGGCTGAGCCACCGAGCCCGGCTTTATTCTCTGATATTTTAAATGAAATATAAAAGGGTCCTGAGACCAAAGAGTTTTGTTTTTCTTTTATTTCATTTTATTTTATTTTGAGCTGGGGGGTACAAGTGGGGATTTACTACATAAGCTACCTATGCAGGTGAAGTTTGGGCTTCTAGCAGGCCCAAACCCTGACACCTCTCTCCCCTGATAGTGAACCAGGGACCCAGTGTGTTGCCACGTTTCCCCTCCTTCCCTCCCTCCCCCAGCAGTGTCCAGCATCTGCCAGTCCCACCCTTGTGCTCTTGTGACCAGCAATCAGGGTTCGTTTATGAATGAGAACATGTGGTCTTTGGTTCTCTGTTTTTGTGATATTTCACTTAGGATGGTAGTAGCCAGCTGCATCCAAGTTGCTGTGAAGGCCGTGATTTTGTTCTTCTTCATGGCTACATAATAGTTCATCATCTGTATGGACCATATTTTCTTTATTCAGTCCACTCTCAATGGGCATCTGGGTTGGGTCCATGTTTTTGCTATTGTGAATTACTGCCGTGAACATGCGTGTGCAGGTGAGACCAAAGAGTTTTGGCTTCATTGTCCCTGCCCCAGCAGGTCTGTAAAATTGTGGGCATAACTAGCCTTTGTGCTGATCATTTTCTATGAAAGTGACCCGCTCATACAGCTCTGTCGTTTCACATCAGCTCCTTGAGGACTGAATCCTGCTCGTTTTTCTCTGAGTCTGATGGAACACCTGACACTCCTAAACCCTTGAGGTCTGAGGAGTCTGTTCCCTGTCCAGGTTATAGGGAGTACTGACAACCAACAGCTGAGGCCACTTTCAGGTAGCTGGTTTGTGTGTGATGCTGCAGTGAGTAGCATACGGGCATTGCTCCCCAGCTCGTGGGGTCCCGTATCTCCACATGTGTGTCAGCAGCCTGGAGTTCTGTCTCCTAGAAGAAGTCAGGATGTCCTGAGAGCACAAGTAGCTGGAACTACAGGTGTGTGCCACCACATCTGGCTATTTTAAAAATTTATTGTAGAGACAAGGTCTTGCCATGTTGCCCAGGCTGGTCTTGAACTCC